GTACGCCCTTAAGGTGTCTTATACTTATTCCATGGAAATATCAGATCATTTGTTGCGATATATCATAAATCAAATTTAACAACTCGTAAAAATGTTACAATTCAATGTTAATGAGAAAAAAGTAGAGTTCTTTAAAAGAATTTCATGATTTTGTCAAAATGGTTTTGATAAACTCTGCTCACTTGAAGAACATTAAATGCTTCCATCAAAATTAATATCAAATCAGATTTATTTTATTCTCTAAAAATAATTATTTCTTAACTAGATATTTTTAACAAAAAAAAGTCAAAAAAGCACTTACTCACAATTAAAAAAACAATCGTTTGCTTTGTCTCAAAATTTATGCAAGTAAAATTTATTTTAGAGTGAGAAGAATCGTTTGCAAAAAATATTTAGGTTATTCTCTAAGAGTCTAATTTATTTAATTTATTATTATTTTTTAATAACCAAAGGTTCTATTCTTATCTCATATACGCTTATTCACTCTAAAGATAAGAATGCCATCATGATTCAGTGAGTCTCATGAAATAAAACGACTTCGATTTTGTGACATAACTGAGCGCAAAGAAAATCAATGAAAACCTATCATGTATATTATGAAAATCCGAGTCCAAAGACACATTAACAAGAAGTATCTACTACTCATCAATTGGGTATACTATAGCCTACGTCACAGATCGTGTTATTCCTACTAAATTTAACTAGTAAACAGCATTTTCTGCGAACCTGATTTCTAGCAACAAGTAAAAGCATCAAACGAAGTGTCTTGTTATAAGTCGCTCCTCGCCAGGTTAGAATTGTATTAGTCTAGTTCCTTTGGAAATAATTTATATTGTTGTTTTACCGAAGTTTATGAATTTAGTAAGCATATTTAAAACTCAGTTTATTAATTAAACTAAAAGGTAAATGTTATTCCTAGTAAGTGGAAGTAGTTGTGCTTTTTTCATATTGTACCCAATTACTTCATTTTATACATAGAGTACAAGCATTTTGCGTCATAAAAAAATTAAACTGCATCTTAATTTAATGAATAAAAAAAAACAACCTATCCACAAGAAAAGGAGAGTAGGAAAAAATATTTGATGGCTTAAGCAGTATTCCGTGCTATTACATTGAAACTAGAAAAAAAGATATTTACACAGCAAAGTAAAAACTCATTGATTCTATGGGAAAACTTCAGTTATAGTGCCGCACATAGGATACTATAATTAGCAAATGATGCTAGAAACACATTGTCATTTGTAGAGAAAAATGGTGGCGCAAGTTAGATATTCCAGCAGAACAAGGCCTCAGTTTACGTTGAAAAATCTTCAGACTTAATGTTTTTCGGAAAATATAGTGCGTATAATAAATAGTCTGCCCTTTCCTTCCCAATTCAATATCCAAGAAAACGAGAAGGGCTTTCCTCGGTAAAATTATTTTTACCAAAACGAAGCAGTTTCAGTTTGTGGCAGAATTGAAGGCTGTCACCATTGAAACCTGGAGAAATATTGATACTAATATCATCCAGGCTTTAGCAAATGATACGCAACATCATAAATTTCAGATCATGTATAAACATGGTCGATATATTTGCTATTAACCCTTAGCGATTTGGAAGTATTTGAAGTTTACTTCCCACCAGGTATAATTATAATGATAAATTATAAGAACTTATTATAGTAAATTATAATAGTTAGATAAAATTAAATTGGTTTAAAATATGACTACAATGAGTATGATAAAAAAATGATTTTAGCCATCGTCTGCGTGGTATTGGACTAATATGTAATAGTCATTGGTCCGTAAAGGGTTAACAGCAGTGCATTTATTTCTGCGAGACACTTTTTTTGCGCAATTTACATACTTTACCTATTTTTTTTTCTTTTCAATTTCCCGCATGCTTGAAAATGTCTTATGGTTGCTAGTATTTTTGATATGGAAAAGATATGGCACTTGGAACGTTCTCCACTTCATTGTGCATGGCACATTCGACCAGCGTGATCTTTTGAGAAATTTTTGAACTATTATTTCTGCGGGACACACTCCAGAACATTCTTCTTATGTCTGAGGCTGATATATTCAGCTCCACAACTGAGCTTCCTGTTAGATCAAGGATCTGTTTTTCTGTTAGTTTAACTGACACACACGACTGGATGCTGGGTTTAAAAGACCCTCTCTGCTAGACGTCTACATACTGTTAGGGTAGAAATTCTTAATCCAGGCGCAGCAGCAAGGTCCCGAGCAAGTACAACGTGCACAGGCACGTCATGGAATCAATTCCAAACAGTAGAACTTGTTTGGAATCGATTCCACAACTTGAACACCAACAGATCTCCATTTCAAGAAATCATCAATATGACTATGAGAACTCAATCTCACTGCAAGCCGGCTAACATGTTTGTTTTAATGTAATAATCATAAAACTGCATGCAAAAGTCCCAGATGCTTAAACTGTCTAATTCCAGTAGAGCTACAAAAACTACCCCAAAACAACTTCCTTGTCAAAGATTAATACTGTACTACTCGTTCTTAAGAATACAAAAAATGCAACTTCGATCAATTTACTAGTAGCAATTTAGAATTATCTTGAAAAACATGCTGGTGGCATTAATTTTGGATAACAATGAATTATATTCACAAACACACACAGCTCTGATGTTATACATTGACTATGCATTCGGTAACATGGCTCTAAATCCATGACATTGTGCTTTTTAAGTGCAAATTGAAAACATTAAAATCACTCACAGAATCACCACCTGGTGGCTCCCTGATAAGGATATATACCCCTAATTACGTCGCCGAACATTTTACATCAATGCGCAATATATTATAGACTAATATATAAGTTTTACTGATTGCAATCGTAGCTGTCATTTTGAAATGTCTAATTATATAATCCTCTGGCATTTTTTAATTTAACTTTATTTTGGACCATCTCAATTTTTTTAAAAATACTTTATCAATGTAAAAACACGTTATCAATTTGAAAATACATCAATTTAAAAACATTACTATCATTTGATTAATAATATTTTAAGATTAATAAATAGATGATGAAGTTAAAGAAACTTAACTTCGATAGATTTTACTTATATTTTGAAAATATTAGGCTTTCCTTTTAGATGTTTTGTGTCAAAATCCTGTATTTATAAGTTAACCCTTATTTTACATTGCAAAGTAGAGGACTTTGCATACATTTGTTGTATAAATGGATACTTGAATTCACACTTTATAACAGCTCCAAAACCAGTTACGATGATATTGTAAGAATGTCTGAAACTAACACAGTTGTGACTGCTCGCATTTCTCAAATTAATAGTATGCCACTTTATAAGATGAACTGTTTCAGTTCTAAAAAATAATATTTTTGTAATACAGAGAAATCTCGGCTAAGCAGACATACTTGGAGTAGAAAAAATTTACCATTCATGAAAGTTGTCCATTTACGGGAAGGATACATGATAATAGAGGGAACACCATAAATTATTTTTTAAATAAATGCTTTGATATACAAATAATTAAATTAATTACTATTGACATTGATATTTATTTAAACTTAACAAAATTAGAGTTAAAAAGAAGACATGAAGAAATTTGATCCATATACATGCCATTATTTTATATTTATTCAGTTGGAAAAGAAAGATGTCATAGAAGTGTCTTTTAAGCATCTGCAACAAACCATATTTTCAAGTTACAGTTATAAATCATTTAGCATTTTGTCACCTATTTAACATTATTTTTGAATAGAAAAAATATCTCAGATCTAAAATACTAGTTTGATACAAGTCTGACCCCAATACAATTGATTATCCATTTCTTCATGATCACTCTGGACATCATTATTTGCTGTTCTAATCAATAGGTTTACAACCCCTAACATCTCTCCACCACTTTATAGGAAACATAACTATAAGGCCTTGAAAGTAAACCTTCTGTGATGCATAGAAAAAAGAATGTACAAATATCTACTTATTACAGGCCTCCTCGTTGGTGCACTCTGGGTTACGTAAAATCTGCTACAGCTTTGCCGCTTGCTGATGGCTCCTAACGCTATTGGCAAGCATGAAGTTTAATGGCCTAAAGGCTAATGTAACTGACATTTCACAAATAAAATATCTACTTATTAGGCACTAGGCCATATGGAGTTATTTTCATAATGAATCATTTCTCAAGAGTTTGATTAAATGTTTGATTTATATAAACACCTCTAAGACTTGATTTATGTTCCCTTTCTTTAGCTGTGTTAAGTACAAGGGGTTAAATTGATTTGAAGAAAGAAGGAATCTTTAATGGAGAAAGCCATTGAAAGTATTTAATGCATCATTTCTACTAGGAGAGTCTCATAACTTGTGCTGTCCAGATGAAAAGATCAATAGATGCCATTGTCCAAAATATTACAAATGAGCAGTATTATCACTCCTTTCTTTGCAAAGATAAAAGAAGATGACAGGAGACTGATTTATTCTTTGATAATAAATTAGTTAAACAATATTTTGAGTTAAGGATAAGACAAAAAATTTACATGCCTAAAAAATTGTAAATATATATATCTATATAAAATTGCTAAAGAAAAAGAGTCGCTAAAGAGAAAGACGACAATGCTTTTGAGCATAGCTGACTGTCCATGTCCAGCTACATGAGCTTCTGCTTTGTAGAGAGGGTGCATAATGGTTTATTCAAAGTAGAAGTGGTTTATTCAAAGGAAAAAATATCAGTCTGAAATGAGATCCATCCGTTTTGTAGGAGTGTTGGTAAAGAGAGATTTCACTACTTTAAATTTATTATTCCTTTTTAATTGAATAACTTTTCATGTCTTAGTATATTTATCTTACAGATTAGGTATATTTTTAAGACAAGCCTTTTTTAATATGTTTCAGGGAAAAAATCTTAGCTTAATGTATTAACACTGTATAAGTTGACCCTCAACAATCATTGCAATTTAGGAGTCAACTCCTGCAAAATGAGGTAGCATTTAAACTCAGACAAGTAAACTTAATAGAAAACTCCAACACTTGCAAAAATTATAATATTAATTTATTACAGCTTATTTTTAAATTCAATATGTTTTACTATGTTACACAGGTATTCAAATAATAAATATGTTGACCACTCAGATAAAGAACAATGAGATGCAATGATAAAGGTCCAACTGCATAATTTGGTATGTATCAGCAATGATGATGCAAGATGAAAACTCTGTAAAATAAAAATTAATAAAATAAACTACTACAGTACTTATACATTGATTTAAAGGATAGAGAGGGAAGTGAATACTTTTGAAATGTTTAATGAATATTGGTTTATTTATTTAAATAATTCAAGAAGACTGGGAAAACTATGGATAAATTATATTCCTGTTAAAAAAATAACATATTATTGGCTAAAAAGCTTGCACTAGAATAGTCTAAACACTATTATGACAGAGTTAACATGCAAGTAAAAATTTACTTATTTACCTGTTTATACCTTTTTATTATGTGACAAAACACATAAAATAAATACAGAGAGTATAAGAAAGAAAATTTTTTTTCAATAAAATAGTAAAGATTTATAATGGAACCCGTTATCAGCGACGTTTTTTTCCCCCAGGGAGATAAAAAAAAAAAACATGAAAGCTCTAACAAAATGGCACGTTAGCTTGATTGTAACTTTTGAAATTTATCTTTCTAATGAAACATTTTTTGAGGCGAAAAAAAAAAAGAATATTGCAGTGGAACTTTGATTTCAATAAAATTTTATAAAACTATGTCAACAAATGAGAGAGGAAAAAAAAACAATTTTAAAAATAAATCAAAATTGTAATAAAAAAGTTTAAAAAATTAAATCTAATGTAAATGAAATTAAATTAAATGAAGCCAAATGTAAATTAAAACGAAGTTAGGTATAACTGGTTAGTTTTTAATGTCTTTTTTTTACTTTATTTTTTACTGAATTATTCTTGTATAACTAAAAAAATAAAAAAGAAAGAAAGAAAACAATCTTTAAAGAAAAGCTTAGCCACCTTCTTCGAATGAACATAATAAAATTAGGATAAAATTTATCACCATTTTTACATTTTAACAAAACTATAAATAATATATTTTTGGTACAATTTCAATCAATTATAAGTTCAACTAAAAATTTAATAATTTGCAATTACAAGTTGCCAAAAGAATTAATTAAATTAAATTCCTATCTGATACATCAATATCTAAACATAGTATTTCAGTTTATAGTACAGTAGAGCACCGGTTATCCAAACCCTTATTATCCGAACGTCCAATTATCCGAACTATGTCCGAATTCGCTTTTTTTTTTTTTTTTGTTAAGTTTAGTATACTTCTTAACTTATCGACAATTTTTCTAAATTTAGAAGAATAAAAAATATCCACAACATCTGAAGACCATATTTAATTTACAATCTTTTTCAGAAGTTTTCTTATAGTAGCCATACATACATGTACTGTTATACAGTTTAAACTACATACCCCTTTAGCCCTCTTCAACTGAAAATTATCTTCCAAGAATACAAGCCTCATTTTGACAATCTACAATGGTTGGAATGCGGAAGGTGCTTATGAATAGATAAGTGCTGAAGTTCTACAATTGGAGGATGGGTAGTTGTCACTTATGGTTAATGAGTAGTGCTTGAAATCTTAATTCTTGGAATAAAATTCTTAAGAGAAAAACAAACGAAACTGAAGTTTCTGAATCAGTAGATCTTTCGGGGTGAAAAGACGCCAGGTTATACAGCAGAAGAAATAGAAGACTGGTGTCAAGACACTGAAAACGATTCAGGATTTCAAATTTTAAATGATGATGAAATTGTTGCTGAAATTTTGAATGAAAATCGGAACTCCACAGGCTAAGAGGAAGAAGTAGGTGATCAAGTTCAAGATAGTGGACCTTCTCATATAGAAGCATGCAATTCATTAGATATTGCAATGAATTGGCTAGAACGTCAAAATGATGTTGATCCAGTTCAGTTGATTTATTTAAAAAGAATAGGGGATATAGCTGTGCAAAAAAGAGCATCTTCTTTGAAACAAAAGTTTTTGTTAGATATCTTTTGCAATGGAAAATAAAGAAAAATGTGGCAAAAATCAGTAATTGACAAAAAAATTATAAAAAAGCTGAAATATGATAAAAATAATTCAAATTGAAAAAAAAGTAATAAAAAAATATTAAAAATTTGAAGAAAAAAAAGGTTTTAAACACGGCAGAGCTATTTTAGATAATACTGCCAGTCCTAAGCCTAGAAAAAGTGTAAAGGGAAGCTAGTGCATAAATAATAATCATTTAAACTAGATTTTAAACAACTTTCCAACTATCCGAACTTTTCATTATCCGAACCACGTTCAGTCCCGAGCAATTCGGATAATCGGCGCTCTACTGTACTTTAGATTTTTTTTAGCTGTTTTAATAAACAATCTTTACTAAAATTGTAAAAATCAGAATAAAAATTAGAAAAATGCAAAAAAGATTAAAATTTACAAAACATTTGTTGTCAATAGTATTGCAGCTTCAAACTAATGTTTGAAACAAATATTATGCATGATTATTTTTATAAATAGAGGAATTTAAATTTAATAAGGAACAGAGAAATTTCATTTTGTGCATATAGGGAGAAAAAAACATTATATACAGGAAATAATGACATACAGTAAATTTTTATAATACTTACAATATTGCCACTAAGATGTGTTATTGTACAGCAAAAGATTCAAATCCTGCAAAAATAAATGGCAATAAAATACTAATATGTATAATGTATCAATAAGCAAAAATTCAGATGCAAAATGATTTGTGGAAAATCTTTAACACAAATGTGCCATGCACTTTAAATAAGTTTTTAGTACTAAACAGCTTTTCTTCGTGTGATGTTTGAATTTTGTTGGCTGAGTTGATGCTAAAAAGCACTTGTAAGCACTCACTGTTGTTATGAGCATAATTTAGCTCTATTTTTTAAATGAAACTTAAGGAAAAACTTTCTCTTTTACACAGAGAGGAAACCGGTGTCACTGTTAATGAAAATTCAGGGTGAACACTTTTACTTTAAAAAAAATTGTTTAAGTAGAAAATTGTAAAACTTTTTATACTTCACAGTTACTTAAGAAATATTTCAATTCTAGCTCTTACTACCTATAAATTTTTAAGGAATAATCACAACAGTCCCACGTAATTATTTCAATGACAAAAGTTATGTATGTACCATCAGAACAAACAAAAATCATAAATAGAATATAAAAAACAAATGAAGTTAAAACATACACATAAAAGATCATTTTACCATTTTAAAAATAAGTACCGCAAAACTTAAAAAAAGTGGATGAAAATATGTTGATCTTTAAATGAATCAATACAATTAAAAATTTGAATATTAATTATAATTATAAGTGGGTGATAACTCTCCATATTATTTTATTGAGGAATATGTTAGCACAGTATAAATTAGGGTTGCACAACCAGTGACCTCGCAGCTCTTGAAGTGCAGCCCGTGGCAGCACTTGAACATAATGAAAAAAAAATTATAAAAATTTTTTTTTTTAATATTTATTTTGAAAAGAAAAAAAAGTCAGAAATTTCGAATTGGGTATTTAAGTCATCACTTTTAAACAAGCTCAAATTGCACAGATTCTATCATTAATATGTGTTTTAACTTAATTACTCAATTTTTATAGCTTCAAAAACTGTTTAAGATTACATATTCATAAAATTTCTTATAATTCACTTAATATAAAGCCCTAACGTTAAAAATATGTTCCCAAGTAAATTTTTAATCTTATTTCCAGCTATTATACATTTGTTTTAGCTTTTATTTTAGACAACCATAAAATTTCTTAAATTAAAGTATTCAATTAACATTTAAATTATTCAATAAAATATTTATTTTACATTTATTCCATTTATGAATTAATTTATTTATTAATTTATTTATTTATTTATTTATTTATTTATTATTATGAATTTATTTTTAAATAAACCTTTGTAATATGTGATGTGATAGAAAAAAAGCCATTGCTTTTACTCCATTTTAGTGGGGGGGTTTTTTTCAATAAATCTACTTTTTGATAAGATGAAGAAAAAATTTTTTGTTAAAGTATCAATTTGGTATTCTCCAGTTTTGAATGAATTTTATATTTTTAAGTAATTAATTTTTTTGACTGTTGAAATAATTTAATATTTAAAATTGATGTTTGTATAAAAATTACCATAATTCCCATCAACATGTATAAATACTTTGGCATGCAGCCCGTTGTTGGTCATGCTGAAGGAGAGGTCCTTCACTCTAAATGGTCGTACATTCCACCTTATTATAAACAGTTTCTCTCGCTAGTAAAGTAGTTTTGTTATAATATGTATACAGATTGAAAAGTGATTTTCTATGCACAAAATTCCAAAAAGGTATTTTTTCTTTTTTTTAAAAAAAAAGGCATATGCTTATTTCTGAAAAATCTTTTTTCTTTAAATTAAGAACTCTTTTGAGGGAAAAAAAAGGGAAATAAGAAAATTACCTGAGCAGGATATGCAGTTGTATAAATAACATTTTGCTGTCCAGACTGATCAGTTAACATAGCTGCTGTAAGAGTCTGGGAAGCTAAATAAATAACAATTAATAGCCGTTATTATACAATAAAAATATACAATATGCAGTACATATGTGCAGTGCTTACGCTAAGCATTCGCTGCCTGGTCAGATGCAATAAAATCCTAAATTTGGTAAAACAAATTGCATTTTTACAAATAAATTTTTTACAAAAAAGAAAAATATACATTCCCTTTGATTCTAAAAATTACAAAAATATGAATTTTTCTCTGAACAAATCTCGTATTTTTTATTCAATTAAAATAATTTCGCATAACTAAGTGTTCATTCCTTAGTTTATTGCATAACTAATTAGAATTTATATTAAGTCCAGATAATGTAAGCAACAAGAGAGATTATGTAAGCATCCTTTTGATTATATTTTTTTGTTAAGTTTTCTTTTATTTGGGTAATTTACTGGCTAGAAATTTGAAGTCATTAGCGTGAGCCCTGTATGTGTGGTATTAAAATACGAATAACAACTTGTGAGAGAAATCTGTTATTACATAGCAAGAATTTGGAAGCACATGAATAAAATATTTTTTAAGTAAATAATGATTAAAAAAAATTGTAAATAAATAAAACCCCTTTGGCAATGAACAGCAATTGTATATGGCCAATTTTATCAGAAATTAAATATATTTGTTTCAAAGTGAAATAGAAACAAAAAAAATTATGTTTAATTTATTAAACTTTTTTTAAAAATATGTAATTTAACTTAAATTAATTCAACATGTTATTGAAAACATGAAAGAAAGAGGAAAAATCATTGAAAAACATTCTTAAAAGAAAAGAAAATGGAAAAATTAAATCCTTTTATTATTAGTATACGATATTATGTAAAATGAATTTTATATATTTTAATAAATAATCATTTTTTTAAAAAAATACAACTTTTTATAGTAAAAGGGTACCAACAAGATACAAATTAAGCAACTTAAACTTCAGCTGGTTGATACTAATAATCTTTAAAAAAAAAGTTAATCAATTGTTTAAAAAAAATGATCTAACAATAAAATTTTAAATCATTCACTACAAAATTATTATAACTTTATAAAAATTTCAATAGTTTTAAGCGTTTTTTCAGAATATGAATTAATTTACATGGTCCAAAAATTGTTTAGAGTAGCTGTTCATATCTAATATAGGAAGTTACAGTTTTATACAATCAAGATCAAAACAAAAATAGATATGAGAACAAAATTCTAAAAAAATAGATCAGATAACAAGCCCGCGAATAGTTGATTTTAATATTGAAAGTATTACATAAATTAAATTTTGCAAATAATAAAAAAAATAATCAACATAATAATAGACATGTAAAACAGTCACTAACAAATATTGAGTAAAATTAGGTACACTGCTTTAGACTTTTATCTAACTTTAGAAACATTTTTTGATGAACTACAGCTTATAAAGATGCATGAATTAAGATATTCCAGCCCAATAGACAACATAATAAATCAGCACAAGAATAGAAAATCTCCATCACTTGGAACCAAATACTTTGTGAATTTTAGGATTCATTAGTTCAGAATTTTTCTTTTTCAATTTCTATCCATTTGTATAAGAAATCAATGACATAATAATAATTAAAAATTTTGTATTAAAATAAATTAAGAAAATTAATTATTTTTATATAGCTTAGAAGCATAAATTTTACTGTAATTTGTTTCAAATGATTGCATTTATTTTTATTCCATTTATAAAAGTTTTTTTACTGTAAGTTTGGAAAAAGCTATAACTGCTATTTCAAAATAATGCTAAAACTTAAAATAAAGGAAGGCTATTTTTCCCCCCACCATTCAATTAAGATTATTCTATTAGGATTTTGATCAAACCCTTCATAATGGCAATGTTTTAAAAACATTGTAAATATATATATATATATATCATGAAAGATAAATATAAGAAGGACAAAAAGTAAAAAAAACAAAGAAAATTAAGAAAAACAATAAGTTTTATTTACTGCGCATAAGCTGCAAGTAAATAGAACTCATAAAATATGTTCAAAATGTAGAGAAAACATGGGAAAATTACAGAACAATGAAAAAAGGGAAAAAGAAAAATAGTAATAAAAATAATAAAAAAAATCTGGGGAAAAAAATACGAAAAAAGGAGAAAAAAATTAATAAAAATCCGGAAAATAAAAGATATAATCTTTTCATTAGCTCACATGATTATATCACGCAATTATAGGCGGATATAATCGTGTGAGCTGATGAAAGGATTATATCTTTTATTTTCCGGATTTTTATAAAATTTTTTTCTTTTTTCTGAATTTTTTTCCCCTCCGGATTTTTTTAATTATTTTTCTTTTTCCCTTTTTTCATAGTTCTGTGATTTTTCTATGTTTTCTCTACATTTTGAACTTATAAATGTGTATATATATATATATATATATATAAAAAAAGATGAAAATCATTTTTTATCATTTAATGATAATAATGATAATGTTCATCATTTTTATCATTAAAATGATAATATATGATAAAAAATCAAATGGTTTAAAGAAAGTAAGAAGTAAAATTTCACTGAGCATATTAAAAAAGCATAAAAACAATGATTTATTTAAATATAAAACAATAAATATTAAAAATTTGCAAAGAAATTATGAAAAAAAATCCTGAATTTAAATAAAATTAGAAAAAAGTGAATAAATTTGATATTATTCGAACATTCCTCACTCATTAAGTCATTTATACTTTCTGAGAAGAAAATAATAACACCAAAAAAGATTTTATGAATATAAAGTAGAATGAATGAATACAAAAGTTTCTACTCTGCCCATTTGTCAAACATTTGACTGAAGAATTGAAACTTATTAAGCAGATGTTAAATTAAGTAAAAGTTAGGAATTGAAAACATTTGCATTTGCCTTTATGACCAAGTTAAAAACCTTAAAAATATGATGGTCTTTTTTATTAGTTTAAAACGAAAGTAATGCTTGAAATTGAGAGGACTTTTTAAATTTTTCAATTAACAAAAAATGCACACATAATTTTTTTTAAATGCAACTGGCAGTTTTTTGTTTACATTTTAAAAACATGGTGGATTTTTTATGATTGCAAATTTCAGGCAAGAAGATTTTAAAGAATCTACGGTAGAGGGAAAAACAGCTCATAAACTATGAAAAAATCAAGTTCAAAATTTAAACTTAATATATTTATGATATGATTAGAAATTTCACACACAATGTTCAAAGAATATTTCTCTGGCAAAGAAAATTAAATGCTTAAAATCACAATAAATTAACAAACAATAAATTAAATTAAATTAAATGATAACAAAGAGAGAATTTCACAGATAACAGTTAATACAGGGCTCGAGAAACCGCCCATCCGCCCGTCCTCGGCGGTCAAAAATTCCCCGCGGACAACAAATTTCTCGAATCCAGCGTCCGCGCGGACGGCCATTTTCCCGTTAATGTTCGTGATGCATTTTCAATTTTTGTTATCTTACAAGAGTCTAGCGCCTCACTTCTAAAATGACCCTCTAATCTCGAAATACAGCAACATACTGCGCATGGTGGAATTGATGTTTTCTCTGTCTGGGAGTACTGCAGCGGTTGAAAGGGGCTTTTCAGCAATGAACTTACAAAAAAACACATTACTTACTGGTCTTAAACAAGAAGCGTTAAACGCATTTATGAACATCTACCTAAATGGAAAACCTCTTTCAGATTTCTGTGCAGAAACCTCTGTAAATCATTGGCTTGATTGTGGAACTGGCAAACGTCATATTTGATTCATTTAAAAAACGCAGTACCATCGGATAAATTGACATGATAATTGACAGATAACTTGACCTTTGTTATTTAAATTATTTTATCAAAGAAATAAATTGTTTCATAATAGAAATACTAGGTTTTACTATTAGTAACCTAGTATTTCTTTTATTACTGTATAATGTAATCCTAGTATTTGTAATCCAAGTAACCATCAATTCATTGTACAATTTATATAAATGTTTGTAATAAATAAGACGCATTAAACGCATTTATGAACATCTACCTAAATGGAAAACCTCTTTCAGATTTCTGTGCAGAAACATCTGTAAATCATTGGCTTGATTGTGGAACTGGCAAACGTCATATTTGATTCATTTAAAAAACGCAGTACCATCGGATAAATTGACATGATAATTGACAGATAACTTGACCTTTGTTATTTAAATTATTTTATCAAAGAAATAAATTGTTTCATAATAGAAATACTAGGTTTTACTATTAGTAACCTAGTATTTCTTTTATTACTGTATAATGTAATCTTAGTATTTGTAATCCAAGTAACCATCAATTCATTGTACAATTTATATAAATGTTTGTAATAAATAAGAGAAAATTATATTTCTATATATTTAGAAGCAACGAGTTAGTTTCAAAGGAGGTAGGGTACATTGTTGGACAAGCCGTCCTCGGGGACAGGTAAAATTTCTGAGTTTTTTCGAGCCCTGAGTTAATAAATAAACATTTCAAAATGTAAGATTAATATGACAGATAAGTAAATCCTATGTAAAAGAAGATAAGACTACTCACAATAAGATCCATCATCAAGTTCATCCATAGATGAGTCAGTTGCAGTAGCTGTACTTATAGTTTTTTCACCTTTCATGGACTAAATTAAAAAATTATTATTATAATAATGAATTAGAAAATAAACAAAAGTTAAAAGATCTTTTCACATGCACACAGTATTTTTTTTTCTTAAGCAAAGAAACAATTTTTATTATTTATAATTAGTACTAACTTAATTAAAATTTAAATTACTATTAGAAATGATTGGGTAGCATGCTGAAAATGAACAATTAGAAAATAAAATGTTATATTAATTCTATTTTCTCTAGTAAGAGACTATATTTATTAATTTAATTTCAAATGTGTTCTGTCATTAAAAGTTCTTTTTTTAAAAAAATTATTAAGGTAAAACTAATTTAAATTTGAGAACATTTATTGAATATTATACATTAGCAACATTTTAACAAAGAATAAAAATAGATCTGCTAGCTGTTCATTTTTTTCCCTAAATATAAATTTTATACAAATTCTTTATGCAACAATTCCCTTTTAAGGAACTTTAAAATTCTAAGCAATAATTGATAAAAAAACACAGGGAGCACAGGGGAAAACATTTTGTTTGTCACAATTAAATACATAATATAAATTACATATCATTGCTAATTTATTTAAAGGATTATTGAAACAGGTTTAGTACATAATTATATGAAACATTTCTCTTTACTTTGTATGAAATTTCAAAATTTAGCTTAAAAAATAATTATTTTTTATTCATTTTATTTATTTACTTATTAGTAATTTTCAGTAATGCACTCAAACTAAAGCACAATATATAAATAACAAAAATTTAAATCTAATAAAATCATAAATTTTTTTTAGTCTAATTATTATATACTGTTTAATTTAGATGAATGAATAATTGATATTCAATAGGGAGTCTAAATTACTCTTCCAACAAATAAAGAAAACAGAGCTAATCAAAAGAACAAAGATTACGTGCACATTGAATTTGATAAAAGTCAACAAATTAAAAAAACAATAATTTTCCTTAAGGACACTAAAAAAAGTAAATAAAAAATTGAGAAAAAAAATTTAGTTATCTAAGTCTAAAGGAAAAAATTTAAAACTAAAAATTAAAAATATGAGCCTTTTTATAGAGCCTTAAAACAGTTTTACACATTAAAAATGTTTAAAGGAATTTATGAACCCATATAACTCTTAGATTAACTGCAAAACTCAGCTCTTATTTTGCTGCATAATAAAGCAATTCTTTTTAAGCAATGCAACTAAATAATTTTTGCTAACAATGGTAATTATAAAATTAAACTTCAGGGATACAAATTAACTACATCAATAAAATTTTTAAAAAATAAATCTTGCACTCTAAGAAATACACTTCAAAATAACAGAACTTGTAATTTTCAATAAATTTAAACTGTTTCAAAAACTACAACTGATTTCATGGTTAGATCTTGGCTGATTTGACATAAATTTTGTTTTGGTTAAAAATATCCCGCTTGATTAAAGAGCTAAAAAGGAAAAAAAATTTATAGATAAATTTGTTTTATCGCACCACTAAAGTGATTTACAAATATTTCTAATCTTAAATTGTTAAAATGAAATAATGCAAGATTTTTATGTAACCAACTTACAAGGAAAAAAAAATTTTATATAAAGAATTTTTCAGAAAATAATTAAATAAAGCAAAATAAATTTAAGAACATTTAATGAATATTAAACACTAGCAACATATAAAACAAACCTACCTCTCTATATTTTTGTAAATACAACTTTAAAGGCTCAACATAATTATCAAAGCCTAATGTTGACATTGCAAACAAAATATCTTCTCCATTTATGGTTTTTCGTTTTTCTTGATGGCAACGATCACTAGCCATGTGAAAAAGTTAAGAAAAGCACAGAAAAATTAAAGTTGCACAAGATAATGGTTAACCACATTGAAAAAATACATAAGATTTTAAAAACACATGTTACTGAAAAACATATTAAAAATAAAGCTTAATTACAAATGCTTCTAAGCTAAGAAATAGACTTTATATTAAGCTAAAAAAGCTTATTAGAATTAACTTTTAACAAGTTCTTGCTAAATATATATACAGTAATAATGTTTTAGTTAAATGCATAAATATTAAAAGAAAGAAAATATTCTTTAAAGAAAAAATTGTGGAAAAGGATACTCGCTAGTAATAAAGCTGACAAACTCTGAGACACACTCTTGGACACACTCTTTAGCATCTTTAGCAATCTGGAAAATAATAAAATTACAATTGCGTAAATGAAAAAAATAGATATTTTCAAAAAATATCTAATTCTAAATATAAAATCATAATAAATGACCCAAAAATTATAAGAATAAACACTGAGTGGATCTTCCCAAATCATAATCAAATCTGGTATAGTGATAAGTTACTCATTCAATTCACAAAATTAAGAAAAAACATTAATGATGAAAAGAGAATCACAAATTTCTAACGTTACACTTCAAATGTGAAGTGAGCTATATGCCTGCAGAAATAAGGCTGACTCTTTACAGTTTAGTAGTAAAACAACTATAATACTTTTGTTATGTTTTTGTATCAGAAAAACATTTATATACTTAACTATGTGCTAGTAGCAGAAAATTTACTAGTTTTTCAACAGTTAATATTGTAATTTTATAGAATAATGATCTTTTAGAAATAGTTTAGAATTAAATAAATCAGTTTATTACTTTACTACTACCAGTTTCACAGTATAACTTCTTTTAAATAAATTATTACAGTAATAAATTTAGACAAATGGATAAGAGATTAAGTGAAGATTTATGTTACTTAAATTGTACAAAATACATCAATACAATATCTTTAAATGCATTAAATACTATACACCCTTCTATTAAATCAGACACTTTTTCAACCAGGCATTAATCTCTTCTAAACAAGGGAAAGATGGAATGCCAAAATTCTAAGAATTATTGTTATCTTTTATTTCCGGTAAGAATTTCAGATCCTCAGCTCCCAACTTTGGCATTAGACTTCACAGAAAATGTTAGAAGGCATTTATCACAATAGAATCATACTAAAGAGTGCAACACAGGCGTGCATGAGCCCATATAACAAGTGACCCAGTAAAGTAACAAACACCAGTCACACAGCGACAAAAGCTGTTCTCACTTAGATATGATATCTGTGCTTTGGTTGATGGTGACGCATGGAGACCTTTATAAACTCATGTTAGCAGATTTATTGACAATGACAAAAATGCATTGTGTCTACTTGGAGTTACTTTGAGGGTGAATATTGCTATTATTTTCCACTTTTCTGTCACATTTGTTTCTTGCTCGTAGTCACAAAACTTTTTAGACACAACTTGTATGTTGGTAATTTATACCTGAATTCATTTCGATACAACATGCTATTATGAATGTGGAAATATTCGCAATTTAACCTAATTCACAAATATTTTGAACAAAAGACAAAATTTGATTTTGAATTTATAAATTATGCTCATTTAAACCTGACTTTATTAGCATTGATATTAATATTATATTATTATTAAATTATAGTTATGATTGATAATATTATGGCATATTTTGCTTAGACTTAATGTCAAAAGAATATTTTAGTTCTCAAGATTAGATAAAAAGCTTGAAATCCATGTATCCAATATTTGATTTTTTTATCTTCAATCATTACTAAACAGTCAAAAGATTAGACTTTAAGAAAATTTGAATTATATAATACAGTGAGTTGAAAAGTCAATGATCATCTTAAAAAAATAATTTTTAAGAAGAGGATGCTTGAATAATGCAAAAACGTGTGATGAGTAGGGCTCTTCGATGATCAAAAGTTCATGCTTCAAGTTTTTTTCTACAAGTGTATGGCTTAATGCTCCACTCAAAACCTATTTTAAGCTATATATTTTTCAAGGGAAAGGAAATTTTTTTATAAATTTGAAAGCTCACAACAAATAAAGGATTATAAAAAATGCTACAAAGAGCTATGGTCTGGTAGAGGAAGGTTCAGTTTTAAGTTATTTTAGTATATACTTTTTTTGAACAATCTTAGCCAGGCACTTTATTACTTTTTAATAAAAATTAAACTAATAAATAAAATAATAGTATAACCATAAAATTATGATAACCTTAATACCTTGAATTTTAATTAATAAATGTATCTGAAGATTTCATTAAGTTTAAAAAAAATTTAAACTTAATTAAATTTAAATTAACTTCATTAAATTATAAATTCAATTATTTATTAAGCATTGCTTTTGCTCCACTCCAGAATAAGAAGAAAAAAAACATCCTCGTCCTCTGAGGATCTGATGGAAAATGTGTGGCTTATTGTATTATTGTATAACTGAATAATCATATGTGTATAAAAATTGAATGAAGCTAAATCTTCTGTTGTGTGGTTACTTATTAATGGTGGTAAGAGTTATTGTTTGTTGTCCATCAGCAACATTGCACAGGTAATGTAATATATCAACATTGTAATAGCGTATGTAAAGTGGCTTCATTAAACAGAATGTTTAATACTTACTTTGCCTGATTTAGGAATAGCATTTTTCATGATCCTAGCAACATTTGCTATAGGTAAAAAACGGTCCTAGAAGAAAAGACATTAATGTAAATTAATAACTTGATTATACTAAGTATTAAATATATATAAAAATTCTACTAAATGATATTATTAAAAGAAAAATACAGCTAAGTAGAACTGTAAGTAGTATAACTGTAGTTTTCTAATAAAACCTAGCGTTTCTGTTTAGAATATGTATTAAAAATGCACAATGAGTGAGCCATCGGGTCACTGAATTACAATTTGTAATTTGCACATTTAGGGCAAGCCGCTTTTGAGCTTCTGCTTATCAGTCGCCTACATCTGTTTGTCGGCCTATTGGATGTGCGAATTTGTCAGTGCTTCAGTTTTTATTAGTAAAAGACACTTTTACTAATAAAAATCTGGTTTTAGTATTTAATTTGGGCAGAAATAGGCCTTCTAAAAACTTAAAATTTGCTGTCAAAGACAAGCTCCGTATAAAAACCAACCGAAGATTTCCTTCACCCCGAATACAGAATGTTACTTTCAACCTTCTTCAAACTTTTGTTTTCCTTGCTTCTCCAATTCAGGTACCTTAAGCTGTTGCTTCACCACCGCCTAATGTTCCTCTTTACACTAAACGTCTTGTAATTGTATTCCTCAACATGTGCATCAGCATGATGAAAACTTAATCATTCAAAAAAGGGTACGAGCTTTCCCACGTATAACGGTTACTCATTGAATGTCTGTCGAATCCTGCGACTGGTCTTCTAATATTGAATTCATTGAAAAACTGATGAGAATTTTGAGGTGCCAGCAGTGAACCATTTTGTCCATATTCCTTTTGACGATCTTCTGAGAGCACTTCATCCTTCCCAACATTTAGATGTCTCTTTCAAATGACTCATGATCTCCTCCAAAAATGATGAAACTCAATAAAAAGCTATTTCTATCGGACTATCTTTGTTGACAATTTTCCATTGATGAGATATCTGGTTACTTTCAGCTAAGTTTTACAGGTTGTATATCTTTATGCTATTTCTTTTAAATACTAATTGTAAACAATTAATGTAATAGGTTACTTCTACCACAATACTTCTAAGTAAATAACAATGCATCTCATAATGAATGAAGTGAATTTTTCCACCCAAAAGAGAATGAGTATTGCACATTTTGCACAAAGAAAAGGAACTTGGTGGGTTGGATTCTTTTGACTAGATAAGCTACAGTTAAAATCAAGTACTATAATTTTACTTTTATCAAATTTTCAAGATTAGAGCTGTTATTAAAAATACAGATAAGAGACAATCTAAATCTGTCTCGATAATTTTAAATAATATTTTTAAATAGAAAATTAGGATTTAATTTGAAAACTTTTTCTTCTTCTTCTTTCTGTATCTATGGACATCGTAACATATAGCAATAATAAATTCGAATTGACTGATTTAATAAAAAAAAAATTTCACAAAAACTGATTTTGTCTGAAATATTTCTAAAACATAAAAGATTTAAATTAAAATAATAATTTCTATAGTAAAGCAATGAAAATGAATTAGAATAGCAAAGCAAAAGGGAGGTAGGAATTTTTTTTCTCTCTGTTATGATGAATTCAAGATATATGCTGTTGTACAGTCCTCTTAATTACAAATCAGATAAATAAAATTTATGGGAATAAATATATGTTGTATATACTCTTATGTAAATAAAATTTATGAAGAAAAAATAATTAGAATTCTTCAAAATTATAAACTTTTTGTATAGTTTTTGGTTCAATTAAAAAATCAATCTAAAATCTTTGTTTAACTTTAATTTAAATCATTTACTTTTTAAACATCTGATTCTTTGTCTGAAAAACAATCTAAATTAACAATCCAGCTCTAGAAATGAATCTGAATAATCTCAAATTACTTTGACAATTCTGCAGCGCCGGCTGTAGTGCTACAAAGATATTACTTGAAAACATATGGAAAAAAAAGAATTTACAAAATCCAAACCATTAACATCTTTTAAGCCAACGTGACATTTTCATATATACTGCAAATAAAAAATAAGGTTAGATTTTGATAATAAATACAAATCAAGATTATTTAAAAGGCACATCATATCAGCAATCTGCATGTTTTTATCACATATCTTTGCAATGCTTTGAAAAAAAAAAGTTCAGAGTTTCTTTATTTGTTTGTTAGAAATCATAATATGTTATGTTTGTATAAATTTGTGAGGAAGAAAAAAAAATTGTAAATTGTGTTATTTACATTAGAAAGATTTTTTTTCAACTCTTATTACTCATCTCTAAAAAAAACATGAAAATTAATCTTATTAATTTGCATCATTTTTTTTTTTTTAAAAAATCAGACGCTTAAAATTATGAGAGAATCACATCAGGTATGTAGCTATCATCTTTACTTGTGACTAAGAACCAAATTAATTTATATAGTAAGCTTAGCTTTTAAATTAATCTTTACTAACCTATTGAATAACATTATTGAACTGAAAATATGGTAGATATAAGAAAAAAAATTGAAAAAAAATTATAAAAAACAAAAAAAATCTTTGGTAGAAATTTAGATACTAATTTTAATAAATATATGAAGATTTAACCATGTTCCTGAAGAATTGTTACAAGAAATAATCATAATATCTTAAACCTGACTGTGTTACTCTGAATTTTAAGATTTTTTTTTTTTTTTTAGGCTTGATGTACTTCTAAGTTTTGGCTTAATGCACTATTGTATGTGAAAAAAACCGAATCCCCTAAGCAACTGCAAACTTTATAATCTTATGGGAGTCCTGTTCAATCATTGACTGAATGATATACATTAGATTAATGTGATAACTGTAATTGAAATGTTGAAATTATAATTTTATCTATTTTCCTTCTTCTTTATTTGCACAAATTTCTAAGAAATTCTATTTTAGTGCAAGCGTTGAACCCAGTGCTATAAACAAAACTTGTAAACCAAAAGGATTACAATCTGATATTCTGAGAAGGCTGTTGATGTCTAGGCTTGTAGCTTATTGTAATGGAACATGGCTGAAAAAAAAAAAGTTTTTTTTATTAATACTTCTTTTTACTTTTTTTTTTTAAATATTAGATTAATGTGATAGCTGTGATTGAAATTTTGAAAGTATAATTTTATTTATCTATTTTCAAAACTTTCTACTAGTATTTTCTTTCGAGATTATTTGCACAGATTTGTAAGAAATTCTATTTCAGTTCACACATTGAGCCTGTGCTTATAAACAAAACACGTCAACCGAAATTATTACACTCTGATATTCCGAGAAGGCTGCAATTTCTAGGCTTGTATTATTGCAATAGAACATGGCTTAATAAAAAAAAAAATTCTTATTGATACTTCCTTTTATCTTTTTTTTTTAACTATTAAAACAGTTCACATGAAAATTTAAAAGGCCTTATATGCTAGGAATGACCCACAATGTCAGCATCACTGTTTTAAATTTATTTGAACATAATCACAAAATAATAAATAATAATAATAAATTAGAAAAAGAATAAATTAGAAAAAGAATAAAAAATAAAATTACTAAAATTGAAACTCTTAGAATACCTGTTCTCTTACCTGTTCTCTCAGGGGTTCCCCATCTTTATCACCAGCATCCATGCTGTCACCTGATATACCTAATTCATCTGGATCTAGAAAATAAATAAAAACTTTTGTTGAGTTTACTAAGTCACAGAATAATAACACAAGGAATATTTGAATTCGAAAATGAAACTCTACAATAAAAAACATTGTTTGTAAGAAGTTTTCAATTGCTGCTTTGACAAACATATTACACAATTACATAATTTATTCAACTTTGATACTTTTAATAGGATGTCTATATATGCAAGCAAATATTGGACTTCAGTAACTACTTTTTGACGTCCTCTATATAATGGGAGAAAAAACCCACCAACTTTATCAGATAAGCAATTTAATCGGCATTTAAAAGAAAAAAACGAAAAACCCATGCTGTATTGGAGCAACAAAGAAAAATGACTTTGGGAACAATTTTAACTGAAGTAGTATTTTTCGCTCAATGATTATTATTTGAGTTTTTGAGCAACTTGCCACCGGTAAAAAAACTGCAGTTTGGTGCAAGTTCACAGAAATTTTGTTTTGGGGCACATTGGTGCAATTTGAGCAGCTGTTACAACCCTGAAAATAGAATCACAGCTTCTATCATATAAAATTTGGAAATCTAAAAACTATTTAAGGTGCAAGTCAGCATTACATTTGTTACTATACAAAGGTTTGAATGAGCAGGACATTTAATAATATTAGATGCCAGTTGACCCACTAAGAAAATCTTCTTGACTAAACTATCTAGTAGATGAAAAAAAAGAAAAAAAGACCAAAATTTACATAGGTTGACGGTCTAAAAAAAGATCTGATAACCAATAGGATAACAAACTGGTAAACCTTAGCCAAAAATAGGACAGCAGAGAATGTGCTACAGAATGTGCACAGACTACAGTGCAAGTGAAGAAGAGATAAAATAGTTAATCCATTAGACTGTTTCTCAGCTTGAAAACTGTAATATGAAGTGTCCACTTATAAGGTGTGTCAATAAAGTGAAGTTTCCCTGGATTATGTAAAAATGTAAAGAATAAAAAATATTTAAGAAAAATAATGTTAAAAACATGTTATTTTATAAAAGAGTTGAGTATGAATGCATACCTTCAGTTTGGACAATAAATTGCCCACCTGGTGTCATATAAGGATCATTTAAACCACTTGCTCCATTATCACCATTATCCATCTTGTTTAGACCCAAATATTTAAAACTAGAAAAAAAAAAAGTCATTAAAAATATTAAATTCTTAATTACAATTTATCATAAAAAAACAATAAATTTAAAATATAAAATAAAATATTTTAAAGAACATTGTTTTTCTTTGTATTTGCGAACAAATACAAACTATTCTATTATTGATTCTATTAATGAAACTATAATGGATATTAATAAAACTATCACTAAAGTCAAAATTTCACAAATATATTTTTAAAATTATGTTCAATATATTTAGAAACGAAAGTAAATTATAAGAAAGAAGTTTAAGCAAAAAGGTGCGCTTCAACGAGCAAAATCACAGGATTAGTTATTCAAAGCAATGACCCTAGTTTATCACTACTTCTCTACATTTTAATAGCAGAATATTAATTCCACATAGAATAGATTACTAATCTTTAACAGTAATCAAACACTCCATCTATTTATTTCAATTCCTTTAAAGAATGAAGTGGCTTGAATCATTGATGGAAAAAAATATTAGTCAGGAAGAATAATTTCTGCACAATGCAACTGGAGAGCATTTTTTAGAAGTTTGAATTACAAAAGCAAATCTTCTTTCTCACTTGATTTTTATTTGTATGACTGCAAACTTTCCGACTAATCCCATGACTTTGAAATGTAATTGCATAGTAGGCTGAATCTATTTTTAAAAAAAATGAATTTTTTCTTGTATTCACAAGAAATTAGCCTTTATTCAATGAAGCCTAAAATTTCACATTTTCAAATGTTTCTGGCTTTCTGATATGTTCCTAATTTTCTATTTCTAAATCTCTACTTTTGAACTTAATTTCAGATTTAAATTGATGATAAATGCCCCTACGAGCTTCAAACAGTAGCTGATGACCATCATTTAATTTTTTCTTTAAATAGAAAAGAAACATTTATTTTAGAATTGAATTAATATTCTTGATGTTACTATACAAATACCTTTAAACATATTTTAAAATTTCAATAAAAAAGACAATTGCTCTTTGAATGAAATATTTGCTCAATCATAAACAACCTAAACAGTCAACAAGTGCACACGCACAAATCAAACGCCAAGATCAGTAGCAATAACCCATATGTTTGTTTAATGAAAGAATACAACGTCTTCCGTTGTAGAAATCACCATGGATTTTATTAGGTCTTCGAAAAATTATTAAATGTAATAAACATGTCACTCAAATTTCGACAATATTTGTTAAAAGAAATACATAGCTTATATTGTTACACAAGGGATTTGAGACACCCACCAAACTCATGATTAATTTCATAATAGAATTTCTATTGGATAATACAAATACACAAATGTATTATAATCTTCTATATGATAAATTAATGAACATTCAAAAGTAACTTTCAAAATAGTCAAGTTTTGTTATTCCTAGATAGTAATCTAACACTTAGATCTATAAAATAATTTTTATAATTGCCTTGAATTAAATTATGATAGCTGTTGTAGAGATGAAAGTTATAATAAATTGTAATATGTTTATAAGAAAAGGTATCCTACTTTACCTAATGAAATTAGAACAGCAAAAAAAGAAATAAACAACTAGGTTAGGTTACGTGATCACACTATAAGATATATAATTGTTAATTACAATAGTGCATTAAATTAAAACTATAAGAGAAGTTCACAGGGGCAAGTGAAAATATAAACAAACAAAATAGGAGCTTCTTCTTCCAGAAAATAGACAACTGATAAATTGATAAATGATCACTCAGGATGATTGATCAGATTGATTTCGGCCTTGGAGTTGAGTTGTATGAAGAGTTTCACTATGGCGTGTTTGTCAAAAATATTGAATAATGCCTTGAATTTAAAAATTGAGTTTTAGATTTCCATTTTAAAATCCCTCAGGTCTTTGTTTACAAATTCTTTGAGTCCCACAGTGGACTGATCATTAAGACACGGTTCCCAGCAAATCACCGAACTCAAGCATCACTGGTTACGGTCAGCGTGCGGGTGGGTGACCACTTGAATCAGTCTGCGTAGGGACCGAGGGTGTGTGGTATTGGTCCTCGTTAAACTGTTCTACAGTGAAGAGCTCGACTTCGCTTGCAGGTCGTCGGGCTACCGAAGCGGGGGTGCCATCCCCTCTGAAGAGGATCAAAATTGTGATGGCATGTCTTCGGATCATCCTCAGGGGTGTTTCCCAGACCGTCGCCAATAGCCCATCGTGCAGCTCTAGTGAGAAGTAAATTAACTACAACAACAAATTCTTTGAAAAATGGTAAATAATCAAAAAATCAGTATTGAACAACACTGCGAAATACCTTCTTGGGGGCTTTACGTTATTAAATTAGGCAAAAACGTTTTTTGCAGTTCATCACATCAAAATAGAAATTAACTCTTTTCGTCATTACTCACTTGGCAAGATGCTATTGCTCACAATCAACTCATAATTGTCCTATTTTATCTCTCTCAAGCAATTTTCTCCAATATGTATCTCTTTCGAGGAGCCTTAAAACACTTATTTTCACAGTATCGTTATTGGTATCAGTACTGCTCAATATTGGAACAGTTTTGATAATTACCAAATATATCAATAAAATACTTTATACAGTATCATTAGTATCAGTGGCGTTTATAGGCTTAGGTGAATCCCTCTACAAGTTTTATAAATGCGCACAGCAATAAACATAAAACAATTTAACAATTTTATTAATTTATTTAAAAATTTAAAATTATAATATGAACCTTTAGGTGTTTATAATCATTCAGTTTAATTCAATTTAGATTAATTTCTATATTTTAATTTAAACTATTTTATTTTACATTATTTTAATTTAAATTATTTTAATTTAAATTATTTTAATTTAAATTATTTTAATTTAAATTATTTTAATTTAAATTATTTTAATTTAAATTATATTTTAATATTAATTAATAAAAAATTTAATAATTGTGATGGAAATGCGAAATAAAGAAAAAGCATTAAATTGGAAAGGTGTAATCACTTAACAAATTGAATGAAATTTATCATAAAAATATGAGAAAATAACTCACTATCTTTCAATAGTTATATTCAAAGTTTACTTAAAGGTTATTTTTATAGGTAAAATTAATTAAAAATCTTATACATGAAAAAAAAAATGTTAGTAATTCATATAGTAGGATGCAACAATCTTTTTAAATTAAGGGCTGCGTGCCCAAGTATTTAAACATTATGATGGCAATTAAGATAATTTTCATGTAATCATCATTGTTTCAGATACTATTCCTTTTGTCAGTCAACTTAGTAATATATTTTCAAGAAATTAAATTCTTTTAAATATTATAATTCTTTTGTTTTATCATCTCAATTCTTTTAATTATTCCTTTTCTTATCAGTCGAATTTAGTAATATATTTGCATAAAATTAAATTCTTTTCAGTATTATGATTCCTTCAAAGTCGCAGAATACCAAAGTGATACTTTTCAAAATAAAATTTTTTCATTTTCTATTAAAAAATAGATTTATGAGGAAAAAGTATTACATAAAGAAAAAGTGAGGGTTTTTTATGGCATCACAAAAGTGCGTTTTAAAAGAAATTAACCGAAATGTTCTTAAGCTAAAATAAAAAATAAAAAAAAAAGATGAATATTTAATTGCACAATATAAATGTGAATGAAAGAAATTATATGGATCTAAAATCGATCAAACTAAAACAGCGCATTATAGCATATAAGAGTATATTTTTAAATTTAGGACATTTATATTTAGTGATTTCATAAGACTTTTAATGTATGTTAAGTCTTAAAATGGTTTCTTAAACCCTTTTATAAACTACAATAAATGAGAAGCAAATTTTAAAAACAATAAACAAATATCACATAATTATTTTTATTACGTAAAAATGAAATAACAGTCGATATCACACAAAATGTATAAATATAATTTTTACTTGTGTTGAAAAGTGCAGTTGGTGGTAATATTTGCTACAATTTTTTTTTTTTTTTTTTTTTTTTTTAAATAAAAATAAATGAACGTCTGATAAAGCAAAGTGATTGGGAATATTTCAAATAAAAAAACTTTTTCCGCTTGTACAAAGGAGGGAACAGAATACGTGAACAAATCATAACGACTTACTGTTTTAAGTTCTTATAAGCTATACTTATTTAACTTCCAAATTGTAGTCTTTATAAAATAATTTTAATCTTTTTAATTTTAATTGTCCAGTGTAACCAACGTTGTAGTTCATTTACGTTGCACTAGAGCTGCACAATGGGCTATTGGCAACGGTCTGGGAAACATCCATGAGGATGATCCGAAGACATGTCATCACAATTTTGATCCTCTGCAGAGGAGATGACGCCCCCACTTCAGTAACTCGACGACCTGCACGCGAAGTCGAGCACTTTACGGTAGAACAGTTTAACGAGGACCAATACCACACACCTTCGGTTTCTACGTAGACCAAGTGGTCACCCACCCGCACACTGACCGCAGCTAGTGATGCTTGGTTTCGGTGATCTGCTGAGAACCGTGTCTTAACGATCAGTTCACTGCGGGAGCCCAGTGTAACCAGCAGTTTTTTTAGTAGGTATGAATGGTGCTCTGACCTATAAATGGACACTCCCGATTGATGCTATTAATACATTTGGACTTTAATGTTATGAATGAAAGATAAAGCCCATAAGCGGCTTTCTATGTATCTAGACTCTAACTTATAGCCATTCATCCTGTGAAAGAAAGAAAACCAATCAAAAAGTTTAATCCTAGTTTACGTTAATAGATTTAGCTATACAAATATTAATTATTTGAATGTCTTTAAATCAATGAAATTTTATAGAGAATAATACAATACCAGTTTAAGTGCCAATTTTGCATTGCGATCTTAAAGTAATTTGTTTTTAGTAATCTTAATTTCGACTTGACTTCTGAAAATTATGTTTCACTAAATATTTCTAACTGTGAAAATTGAGATAGATGAGATACAGCTAAATAATTGTTGCTTAAATAAAAATTTTACTATTTTTGTTGTTTTCGGAAATGGAGAGTGTAAATTTGGAAGGGGGGAGAGGACCTGTTCATCAGTCCTGGGGCGACAGATACCCCTTTGCTATGTAAATATTTGAAGCCTCATGTTCAAAGATGACTGAAAAAACTAATTTGAGAAGTAATTCTTGCTTCCCAAACAAAGAATTAAGAGGCTAAATGGAGTAACCTGCTTCAAGGATCAATTGATAACGATACCAGTTAATGCAAACGATGATAATTTTAGCCAATCAAGTTAGTCTATGAAATTTAGAAGTCGTTCTGCCAAGCAATTGCCTTCTATCAAATGTTGTGTTGTGCCCTCTACTGGCTTTGATTGAGATGACAAATAATCAAATTTTAATAAGCATGACGTGTTTATTTTAAACTAGACAGATGAGCAGTAGCATTATTATTATTTGATGAAGTCTTTTCTATCAACATATTGCCGTGAGAATTTCATGTGGTATAGAAACGTCAGTTTTCTTGAAACTTTTTTTGCTTATTGAATAAAAACTTAAGTGCATATTTTTATTCCGAATCCCAGCCTTTGTTAAATTCCTTAAAATTCTTAAATATGTTCATTGATCATTTAATTTTTCTTTTTATTTCTAATGTATTAAATGTTTATCGTGAATAATTTTTTTAATAGATAAATTTTTTTTGTTCTTTACTTATATTTTGCAATTGCTATTTAATTTAATTTAATTGTAAATTATCTAGCATAAGGTAATATTGTTACTTTTTACTGTAAGGGTTTTGTTTTGATAGTTTCCCTTTGTGTGTTTTTTATAGTTATGCCTGAATTTTGCAAAAGCTAATTTTAAACTTTTGGTGTTTTATTAAATTTTTTTTTTCATTGAAAGTGTTCTGAATGCTCATTTATAAAGATATTAAAATTTGCCAATAAGTTATTGTGAAACCATGCAAGTGATAAATGTTTTAATCGGTCATAAATAAGCAGAGAAGTTGCACATTAAAGATTTAGAAAGAAAAAAAAAATCTTAAATGTTTTGCATTTGGATATATTTTTTTTTTTTTTTCGGGCAGGCCCTAAAATGTCTTTATAAATAAAACTTCTTTTTATAAAAAAAGCAGTTACTAATAATTAACTTTATTTAATATTTATTGCATATATATGTTAAAATACATTTTAGCTTTGTTATATCTGTTTCATGCACTGTTAGTTTGCATTCAAATATTTGTGTGCATCAGAGTTAGATAATTAACTTTTACCCTGTCTCTTATAATGGGGAGAAGAAATAAAAAATTTTAGGCTATGTTTTAAGGGATATTATCATATTGTATCTGTTTGTTGCATCTACAAAAAATATTTTAAACCTGCTATAAATAAAAAAGAATTATATATTGAGGTTTGTCCGAGAATGGCTACAAGTCATACCCTTGGAATTTGTTTTCTTCTGGGACATGTTTTTTTTATTATATAGATTTTTGTGGGTCATTGCTTTTAAGTTCCAAAACTTGGTGATTATTTTGGTATTGATGCCGATACAGATCTTCCAAAATTTGGACATATTTTCCTTTCATGTTTGTTAGATTTTACATATATTTATTTTATTTTACAATTAAGTTCTCTGTTATACCGAAGCACAGCAGTGCATGTGCATGGAACAGCAATAAACAAAGGTATATACGTTTGTTTATTGTTGTTCTGTGCACTCGTAGTGTGTCTACCACTACAAAAATAAAATTTAATTCACTAGTATGTAAGACATGTTAACTAGATTCTATGTTGGGGTACCTGTTCATAGATGAAGGTTGACATTGTTGATAACAATTCTCCCCACATTGGTCGCCTTTGGACGTGTTGTGAACATGCCTACCTTGACAAATACTCACATTTCAATATGAACACGCCTATCTTGACAGTAAGACTCACTTCGATTTGATTACTTCGATGGATGGTAAACAGTTGAGTTGCTACTTGTAACTGCGACATTGTCCACCTCCTTGCATTGTTGCTACTCGGTGTCTATCACACACAACGTAAAATGTATACACTCAACTGCTAAAGGCAACATAGGAGCGACCATGATCGTGAACTTAATGCAGCTCACACGATCAGCACTTAGAAGTAGGGTGATCTTAATACAGCTCTACCAGCTTCTCACAAAACAGCAATGTATCAACTAGTAGTAACCGTTCATTGAATTCTATCACAGCTATAATTCTGGTGGGCGAGTACTGTAGTTTGTTTACCACTACAAAATTCCAATTCACTAGTATATAAGACAAGTTAACTCTATTCTATGTTGGGGTACCTTTTCATAGATGAAGGTTGACATTGTCGATAACTGTCCCCACACTCTGTTAGTTTTCTTTGAAATGTTTTTGTATGTCTGTGTTAGTCAGATAATATTTTGTCACCTTGTATATTGTGTAGGTATCTGATATTAATATCTTGATTGACCGCGAGATTGGAAGGAAGTTTTAAGCTAAACTTTGATGTCTTTTTCCTCTCTTTTTAACTTTGATTATTAGTTAAAAATTCTATATGCGACTATTTATTGATTTGCAGAAGGAGTTTAATATTTAAATGGCTTTTCTTATTAAATTAGGTCTAGAATAAGTTAAATATTATAGTAGATATATTTCAATTTCGGTATCCTTTTTCGCATTTGTTAAGGAGCCAAAATGTTTTTGTTCTTGCAAAAAATTTAAAAAAAAAAAACTGATTGACTGTAGTGGCTGCAAACTTTATCCTTTCCCTGTAGTTAACCTCTTCTGCGATGTTTCTTTTTTAGTTTTTCTCATGCCTTTGCCTAGTTCTTTCCAAGATTTAGCAGTTATCTTTCCATAGATGTAAATCTTCATTTATGTAAATCTTCATTTATGTAAATCTTCATTTATAATGTCTTACTTATTTATTGCCCTTACTGTTTGACTAATAGACCTTTTTTTCTTTGAATTTAGAATAATTCAAAATGTTTATTGTGGATTGGATGACTGGAGTTCTTAACTTCTTAGGTAAGTGTTGATAAGATTTAATGCCTATTGTTATTTTCTTCAATGCTTCACTGTAAGCAAAGTTTTAATTTTTATAACGGGTGGATGAAGTTGAGAATTGCGTGATTTTTATTCAAAAGTAAATTATATAATATCTGTGTATACTTTTTATGAAAAGGGCTACTAGAAGCAAAACTAATTTTGCTTTTGTAGACTATGATGATCATAATGAATTCAATTTTTGTACCATTTTATAATTTAATTATTTTTAATATTAAATATTATTAACTTAATAGTAATAAGAACAATATCAATTTGTTTTGTACTAAAAGGCAACATACAATAAATTATATTTGATTTTTAGAAAGTATTGCATACTATTATCAAAGTCTGATGGTCTTTAAAACATTTCAAAGCGTTTTAGAACGTTTGATGCTCTTTTTTAAAAAATGTAAACTGTAGCTGACTTTTAGTGTTCATAGTAAGAAAATTCATTTTAATATTCTTTATGCTGTTTATAATTATTGAATTTTTAAACATTTGCTTTGAAAATGCTGTTCAAGGAATTTTCATTAAAAAATTTATTAAAATTTTTTGGCACATTAAATGGTCATAACATAATTAGAAAGAACTTATTTTAATTTTTAAAGTGTGACATTCTTCAACCAATTTTAATTTTTTTATTAATAACTTTTGATTTCAAGCATGCCTGCTAGACAAGCCATTGTTAAATATAAGTTTTTAAATGTAAGAATATTACAATTATATTGTTCTTAGCTTAAGGTTAAAGTGACAATTAATTTTAATACATATATATTTTTTTAAAGTAAGCTACCATGAGTGTATTTCTCAATATTTGTGCCATTGCTGGAAGGTTAAAACAATATTTCTTGAATGTTCTCTTTTGCACAACATAAAAGTAAATTGATTTATGCTATAATGCAACTATGTTCCAATTTTGAACCTATTTGAGGCACTCTAGTTAAGAAATTAAATTTATGTAAAGCTTTGTGGCCTTTCAGTCCTAAAAATAATTATTAAATTGGTAAATTGTTAGGTCAAAGAGCTTATTTGTCTTATGATGTCTCAAAATCAGAAAAAGAAAATATTTGGTTTAGTAAAATTTTAATTTTTTCGAAGGATTTTTTTTAACTTTGTTATTTAGATAGTTAAAAAGTTTTATAAGAAATGTATGTTTTTGTAATTTTATAATTTATTTCAATTGTATTTTTAGGCTTATGGAAAAAGAGTGGTAAGCTGTTATTTTTAGGCTTAGATAATGCAGGAAAAACAACTCTTTTACACATGCTTAAAGATGATCGCATGGCTCAACATGTACCAACTCTTCACCCAAGTATGCACTTTTCATTTGTTTGATTAGTTTTTTTTTCATTTTAAAAATGTTTTATATTTCTTTAATTTATTTTTTTTAAAAGTTTCTTTATTAAAAATAGATGATTAAAATTAATATAATAGAATTAATTTTAATTTTCTAATTAAAAGTTTAAGTTAATTAATTTTAATTAATTTTAATTAATTTATAATTAATAGACAAAAAATGACTTAGTAAATCATTCTCCCCTTCTCAAAATAGGATGAATAGAAGCAAACGTTGAATTTAAAGAGTTTTGCAATGATTGAAAACATCTTTTCACTCTTTTTGGGATTATTTATTAAGAATAATGTAGTGTTTGACTAAGTGGTTTTTAGGGTAAAGCAAGCAAAGCATTTGCCCAAGGTCTCCACATTTTTAGGATATTCAAATTTCAATATTTCTAAATGTTTTCATTTTTTAAAAAAAATTTTAATATCATAAACTTGAAATTGTTCTCTGTTATTTGAATCATTAGATAATTTAAGCATATAAGCTATTCATTTTAATCAAAATCACAGAAATGGGAAGAGATATATTTAAACATTTTTAGATTATTTTAATGGGTTTCTTAAATGCAAAATTTTTAATTTCTGAAAGTCCCAATCCTGATATATTATTGATAAAAATTAATGTTTAAGATATTAGGAAAATAAAAAAAAAAGAAAAAAAAATAAAGAATGTTAAATTGTTATTCTTAAGAATGCATCACAAATTTAGTCTAGAGGCTTACTGTAGTAAGTGAATATTTAGTAGATGTTGTAATTTGTTTTCTCAGACACCTTCCAATGTCCAAGATTTTGGATCTGTGCTGCAAAATTACTGTACAATTAAATTTTTTTTTAATGCTGTTTATAACTAATCATTTAGAGTTTTATTAAAATTGTTATACTTTAGAAGTAACATTGCAAGTAATTATTAAGGAATGTTGGATAAATAGGTCTGAGGTAATTGTAAAGATATGATAAATTAAGTCTGAAATGTATGATCAGTTGGCCATTTTATTAATTTTGTTATAGGGATCTTAAAGCTGTCTCATGTACTAAAATTTATAATTTGAGAGTAGTAAAAATGTTTTATTCTATTTTATCTTTACTGATATGTCGAATTTTTTTCATTATTACTTCTCGGCGATACAAAAAAAAAAAAGGAACAACTTGCAGAATATTCACTTATTTAATGATTAAAAATGAAACTATTTTTTTTATGTTATATATTCTGCACTCAATTCTTGTATTTATAATCGAAATATATGTTGAAATTTTTCTAAAAGTGTTCATCTGAAAAACACCGAAATATCTAACACACCGAATCGGAAGAAACTTTTATCCTAGCAAAATTTTAATAAATTTATGCTTCCCTTTAATTTAAAAAGTTTTGTAAATATTTGTTTTACATAAGTTCAGTCAGAAATTATTAAATTATAAATTTAGTGTGTTTAAACAAAATTGCAGTTTTCATTCTTAAATAAACATTGATTGCATTTTCATTACTTATTATGGCGTTCTTTGAATATGTTCCTTATTATTTAATATTATGCAAATGTTATAAATAATAATTTTCAAAATCACTCGGAGAATGTTTGTTGATCTATTTTAATAAATTACTTTGAAAAATACTTCAACTCTCTAAAATTTAAATCCATTGACAAATTTTTACGACATGTATAAAAAATTGTTCTAAATTTCCAATTTAAAAAACGAGAAATGTCAAGTCAAAAACTCAGGGATAGCTAGATGGAGAGGCGTTCATTGATTGGATAAAACATTGTTGTTTTGATAAGATTTTAAATCATCAAAAGTTACTTAGAAACTTTGTTGATACTTTATTGTTTTGCTATTTTAAAATGCAGTTATAATGAGTTATTTTTATTTCTAATTAATTAATTTTAAATTTTTAGCATCTGAAGAATTATCAATAGGAAGTATGAGATTTACTACTTTTGACTTGGGTGGACATAGCCAAGGTTTGTTTCATTCAAGTGCTGTTTTTATAATATTTTAATTTTTGTATCTTTAAGCAATATTTCTCAGTAAAATATGTTAAGTCGGACTTCTATATAACGAACTTCCATTTTGCGCATTGCTCTATTTCGAGGAACCAAAAACATTTTGGAAATTTCTTTGTAAAATAGCTTCCAAATAGCAAAGTGAATTTTTTATTTAACAAACATTTCTTTGCGACCCACTTCCCTTCTTTCCCAAAATATTGTAGAACATTTCAAACTTGTTAACGCATTTTATAGGGGAAATGACCTTGAATTGATTTTCGCAGCCACTTAACTTTTAGAGAAATCAATAAAATCCCTTTTTCTTTGCATTTCATACAGGAATTCATGCTAAAAATCAATTTACGAGAAACCATAACAGAAATTTCTAAAGCATGGAACTGAGATGTTACAGATCTTACTATTCGTAACAGTTTTTCTGAAGCTGGATTCTTAGTCAGCTCGGAGAATTCGGAAGTGCAAAGGATTAGGATGATATTCCTCTAGAAGAACTTAAAAAAATCTGGGTACAGCTAAGAGAGAACCACAAAATTAATGATGTACTGATTAATGATTTTCTGTTTATTGATTCTGCAGCTACAATCACAGAAACATTAACTGAATCTGATATTTTGGACAGTGTGAAAAATAAAAACAATACAGCATTAAATTGTGAGGAAGATGACGACTGTGTTTTATCGTGATTCTTAGTCAGTTCGGAGAATTCGGAAAGTGCAAAGGATTAGGATTATATTCCTTTAGAAGAACTTAAAAAAATGTGGGTACAGCTAAGAGAGAACCACAAAATTAATGATGATGTACTGATTAATGATTCTCTTTTTATTGATTCTCTTTTTATTGATTCTGAAGCTACAATCACAGAAACATTAACTGAATCTGATATTTTGGACAGTGTGAAAAATTAAAACAATACAGCATTAAATTGTGAGGAAGATGAAGACTGTGTTTTGTACACACACAAGTAAACCTAGACACAAAGAAACAAGAGCACCACACTTCACGACGACATGGGCTGTATTTATTAAAAAAAGAGAAGTAAAAATGTATATATATTTTAACAGCGCCATCTATTATTAAGTAACAAGGCAAGGCGCTAACAGACGGATGTGATGGAGAGATCACCGAACCTTCGTATGATGAAATTTTGAAATCATTTGACACAATTCGATAGTAGATAATAATTTACAAGATAAGGGTGAATCAATTGCTTTTTTAATTATGTCTAGTGTTTATAAATTTAAAACCTGTTTTGTGCTTAAGTATTTCAAATGGGGATTTTCTATTTAGCGAATTTTTCATATAAGAAACTTTTTATCGGGATTTAGCTATTTCGTTACATGGAGGTCTGACTGTATTTTTATTATTTAATAATATAGTTTGCTTAGAATACTCACAAGGAATAAAAAAAATATGCATTTAAATAATATATATATATATTTAAAAAATTGGTTGAATATCAATACTGTTCCTTGTCTCCAATACTCATTTCCAAAATTTTAAGTAATTTACTATTGTATAAAAGTATTTCAGAGATAAATACATACATATTCTGATATGGAATGACTGTTTACTCGAATATGCATAATCATAGTGCTTAGAACAATTTGTATGTTTTGTTCTACACTTTTTGTATTTGTTCCTAATGTTTGTGCATGGTCTTTTGTGATGGTCTCTGTGGGGTTTCTTCTTATAGTAAAACATATTATTGGTATTTTCTTCTGTAAAGTTTTAATGATATCATTCTTAGCTTGAAATAAATCATGTATTCTTTATAATTTTTATATATATTTTTGTTTTCAGCTCGCAGGGTGTGGAAAGATTATTTCCCTGCTGTTGATGCTATTGTTTTTCTAATTGATGCAGAAGACAGAGAAAGGTTTCCAGAATCTCTGGTTGAATTAAATGTATATTGATTTGTTTTATTTCCTTTTCTTAGAAATTTAATTTATTGCAATTAATATTGCAGTGGTTTCCAACTCACCTTGACTCATTCCCCATTAAAAAACTCAAAAGCATTTATGCATTGTATTTAGTCAGTGTTAGATTTTTCTTAACATGTTTTAAAATGTAAACAAAGGCAAAGAAAATTTTGAACAAATTTATTATTATTTTTTTAAAGTTTGCAAGTTATTTAAGCAAAATAAATTAAAAATTCAGATGGTTTGACTTCCTAGAAAAGGATGTTTCTACACAAAAATTTCAGACTTCTGTCTTAAATTTAAATTTTGAAACTTTTGCTAAATCCTGTTAACAAGACATTTACATGCATGTGATTCTTCCCAATTTTGAATGTTTTGAAGTCAGCGGAATCCTCTAGTGTTGAGATTTTAATGTAAAACATAGATTTCCATATTTACTTGATTTAAAAGTTACATGTTGGCTTTCATATTCACATGGTTAAAAAAATCGTGCACCTCGATTAATATTAACGCAAATTTAAAGTTGAATATCATGAGTTGTATTTTTGAGTTTTTAAAATCTAATATGGTAATTCATAATTGGGCGATTTTAATAATCTCTTGATATTTTTCATTGGTAGATAATTTAAGTATTGGTCTTATTTCTAAAAAATTATGTTAAACATGAAACAAGTATGGTATATAAATGGATGTTGAGTTTTTACACATGAAATTTTCTGGGTGTTTCTCTTTGTATCACAATCACCTATGTCCCAGCTGAGCCCCCTGAAAGCATTTCTTTCTTTTAGTATAATTTAGTGACAGGTTAGTTTTAGTCGCCCTATCTCCTTCTTAGCACCTGGAGCCATGGTCGGCACCATTAGTGTTGCGTCATTCTGAGAATGTGCCCAACTCGTGTTCATTTGTGTTTAACTGTTGATTTTGTGTTTTTACTGTTCATTTATTTGGAGTTAAATACTTTAGTTGGACAGTAAATTTTTAAGATTTTTCTATTGTATTTTATTTGAAATGTGTTGATTTCCTTTTGTCAATTTCAAGATACTGTTGCCATACAATAGAACTGCCATTATTGTTGAGCTGAAAATTTGTAGCTATAATTTTCTTAACTTAGCTTTGACTTTCTGATCAAAACATCTATTAAAATTTTGCTGCTGTTTCTTAAAACTCCTGACTAAAATAAATGCACTAATCTTACAGCTAAATCAAGGTTGAATAAGTTTAAATTAACAGTCAACTCAATTAGATATAAATTTACGTGTGAAAGATGCCATCAACTGAATTTTTTTTAAACAAAACTTTCATTGCTTATACTCACAAGCATTTTGAAACATTTTTATTGCCAATGAACTTGGAAACATTTTCTCTTCAAAATGAATAACTTACGCTACACCTGTTGTTCAGTGAAATGAATAAGTTAATAAAGTATGTTGTGAATTAGTTCATACCAGACTTGTTATTGCCAAGAAAGGCACAGATTTAAGTTATTTAAAAGTTGATAATAACAATTTTATAACTACTATTGAAATTAGTATGTCACACAAAAGTTTTTAAAAATTATGACAGTATAATAAAAGGAATATTTTCCTGAATGTTAGTTCTGCACTATTTAGAACTGTAAATTGTTTAATATGAATATTAAAAGAAGATAATCTTAAAAAATAATAAGTTCAAATGATGATAGAAACATTGGAAAAGGAAAGTTAGTGTAGATTAGTGAAAGTTGAAAATTAAGAAGATTGACATAAAGATTGAGTTAAAAGGAACTAGTTGTAGGCTTTATATAGGACAGAACAGAAAGAATGATAAAAGTTACTGTTGCTTATAATATCTGAAAGAACTGATCATGTGCAAAATTTGAAAACAATATTGAGACCTATTGTGTGTGAGTCTAGAACTCAATTCCAACCTTAAAGATAAATTCTAATTGGATACTTGTGTTATCGAAATAAATTAAATCTGGTATAGTAGAATTAGTAAATTTAATAACAGAAATGACTTGAACCTGTGAATTTTTTTGGGGGGGGGGGAAAGTGTCTGAAAATTAAATGTTTTTCAATTTTACTATAGTTTCAAATGCCAATTGTTTATTTGAGAGTTAATTGAAAAGTTTTTTCTTTTGTTTTAAAAATTGTTTTAAGATAAAATTCAGATAGTGTATAGGACAATAGATTTGTAACTAAAATGTTTGGAAAATGTAAATTACCCTAAAAGTTTAAATTCGAATACTACTTCTGTCCTGTATTTGTACTATCAATACAAATGAAAACAATCCCCTGATGGAACTTTCTGCAACTCTGGTATGCTGTTGACCAAATTTTTGGGACTAATTTCTCTTCAAACATGTCTTTAATATAGAAATCTATTTTAAGAGTGGCTTGAAGTTTTTCAATATATTAAAGCTACTGACGAATTTCTTAGTCTTAACACCTAATTCTGGGAAGTATTCCAGACTTTTCATTTTCTGAAAATACTGCCAGATTTGCAGGAAGTCAATCTAACATCGATTTTCCTTTTAACATAAAAATTTTCCCCTAGTTTGAAACCACTGGAATGTTGAATTTTTGTTTTCAAATTAGTTTGAAAAAAAAAAAATTTCTTTGGTATTTCATATTTGGAATTTCTTTGGTATTTGGAATTTCATGTTTTATGAGTTTCTAGCTGTGTGCATTGAAAGCAAGTTAAATCTCCTAAAAATGTTTCTTTTATGTCAGTGTTTACAAATAAATTTGTTTAATATTTACTCAACTCAGCCCTATCTTTAAAAAAAAGTAATATATTATGTCATCGCTTAATCAGAATTTGGCACGATGTTAACTGGGGCTATTCTAGAAATATTTTAATTTTTTTCTGGCAAAATTTGCTCAATTCAATTACTTCATAAAATTTTTGGCTTTAAAAATACTTTTTAAAAGTAATTTAATTAAAATAGAAATTCTATATAATCCAAATCAGTTTTCATTAGTTGGAATTAAAATATCAAACTTTTAAAAAATCTAAAAGCAGATACAAGTACAATATTAAATAACCAATAAAATTACTAATTTTATATTCTGTTCCTTTCTTTAAATCTATGGCGATACTGCCTTTTAATCAAATAAAATCCAAAACTGTTTTCCTAATATTTTTAAAGGTATTGTACTGTTAAATGATTAACTATCGTCAAAAGTTGGTAAATGCAAGACAATGAGAAAATCAAAATTGAAAATTTAACTTCTAATTCAAGCAGGATAGTGAGAGCCTGCAAGGAAAGGTTTAGTGCCATAAATACTTTGTTTTAGTTCTTAAGTATAATCTTGAATTGTTTAAAATAATGTATAGATGTATTTCTTTTTTCACTTTCTAGAGTCTTTTAACAGATGAGCAACTTTCAAACTGTCCAGTGTTAATTCTGGGTAATAAAATTGACAAGCCTGGTGCAGCAAGTGAAGATGAAATGAGAGCTTATTTTAATTTATATGGACAGACTACTGGAAAAGTATGTATTTTGAAACTTTTTTAAAAATCACATTTATTCCTTCATTTTTATTGTATAGAAATATCTATTCATAAAAGCTTGCATATAGAATTTATTTTGTTTTAAAAAGTTTACTAATTTAGGGGATCAAAAATGCATCAGGTTCTTTAAGTAGTCTTTGTTTCAATGGATCTTGACATTAACTAAGTCATAGGAAACAGTTTTTTTCTCCAAAGTTCAGTATTATAAGTACATTGCTTTGATTTTATGAAGATATCTATAAGAATTTATTCTTATCCATTTGTATCTTGCATATAGAATTGAGTTTACATCAAAATGCTAACTGTTTCAGAAGATTAAATGTGCATTAGGTTTCTTCTGTTTAACTGGTTCTTTATATCAACAGGGTCATAATATTTTTCTAAATTAACTACATTGCTCTGATTTTATAAAAATTTCGATTTACAAGAATTTGTTCTCAACCATTTGTATTTTGTTGCTTTAAAGAGTTGAATATTTTATTAGATTAAAAGAGTATTAGACTCCTTCTAACCAGTTTTTATTTAACTGCATCTTATAGAGAAGAATAAGTAATAGAAATTAAAGTGAAAAAGTAAAAAATAACGTAAAAATTAGAAATTAAAATGCTGTAAATAGTTATAAAAAGAATACGCTGTTCAGTAGCAAACACAGGATACATATTAATTATCATAGTTACAAGGTCAGAAGTGTCAAATCTAGTCAGACAACTTAAATGCAATTGTATAATTTTCCCCATATTCTTAGCTTCTACAATAGGAAGCATTTTACCCAATGTATAAATGGATAGTAATGAAGACTATACATTGGGTAACACATTGGGTAAAATGCTTCCCATTTGTTTTGCTTTTTGTCATTTTCTATTCATTTGGTTTTTGTTACTGTTACAAAAAAAGTAGAATGTTGCCAACATTTATTAAAGTGCTTCAGGTTGTGGTTGGCATTAACAAATTTATAATATAGGCACAGGCAAAGATATTGTTTTACCTGTTTTACCTTACTAACAAAAGTGGGGCTTTTATTGCATAGAAGCCAGAACATTTCCAGCCAGGTAAAACATTTTCTTTGTTTTGTCTGAGGTACCATTTGTTTTATAGTGAAAGTTGTCCTCAGATTTTCTAATTTGAAAAAGTTGTCCCAAAATTTTAGCTTTTGTCCTAATTTTTGTAAAAAATATGAATTTTTTTCATTTAAAACAAAATTAATAATTCCGGTGTTCATAGTTGTCTCCATATACCTGATTTTTGTGTGCGATCAGAACATCCCATTTTCTGCAAAAAAAAAAAAAAAGAAAAAGAAAAGTGTATTTTAAAATCTATTTGAAGAGTCAAAAAATGGATTTTGGATCGAACACCTTTTTAATTTAATAAAAATCACAAGACTTGTTGGCTCAAACTTTGGGACCGTCCACTAATTACATGCATAGTTCAAAACATGTAACCTTACCCACAGGATTGAGATTTTTGTAAATTCAATCATTTTAGGAAAAAGAATACTCAATTAAAAATTCTAAAATATCAAATTTATATGGCAAGGAATTCAGTGGTTAGATACTTATTTATTAATTTCAGCAAATGCTGTAAGAATTATTGTAGGGTTAAGTAGTTTCATAATTGATTCAACTAGAGCACAATTTATAAAAAAAAATAACCTTAATTTATTGAACCACTATTGAGGAGGTCAAAGTTTAAAGTACCAACCTGTTTGATTGTGCTAAGAAACAAAGAAATAGTCAATTGAATATTAGAAATACTTTCAAATTTCCTCTATCAATCAAGCAAGTTTAGATTTTTTCAGTCCAGTTTTAATCAGTTATTCTTTGGATTTTGATACTTTTGTTTTTTTTTCTTGCTTTATGCCTGATTGTTTACTTTCTGACAAGCATTCTAAAAATACATACTTAGGATGGTGGTTAAAGTTATTTAGTTCTTACCCTACTTATTGCTTGCTCAGTGTCCCACAGTGGACTAATTGTAAAGATACGGGTCCCAGTAGAACACCGGAGTCAAGCACCACTGGGTGCAGTTAGTTAGCGGGTGGGTGACCACTTTGATCAGTCTGCAAAGGGACCGAGGGTGTGGGGTATTGGTCCTTGTTAAACTGTTATACCATAAAGTGCTAGACTTCGTGCGCAGGTAGTCTGGCTATCAAAAGAGGGGAGCCATCCCATCCCTTCTGCAGAGGATCAAAATTGTGATGGCATATCTTCGGATCATCCTCAGGGATGTTTCCCAGACCGTTGCCAATAGCCCATTGTGCACTTCTAGTGTGAAGTAAACAAAGTACCAACCTATCTTGCTTGCTCAGTAAAAGTTATTTAGTTTTGTCTACATTATTTTATAACTGAACTAGCCCACATTATTTTATAGCTCAACTTTGTTTTGTTTTCCTAAATAGTGTAATTCTTTTTCAGAGTAAAATCCCAAGATCAGAAATACCAGGCCGTCCATTAGAATTGTTTATGTGCAGTGTACTAAAAAAGCAGGGTTATGGTGAAGGATTTCGCTGGTTAGCTGAATACATATAAAACTGACTTGAGTTTTAAAATCTGTTTAAAGGGAAAAGAATGTTCATTTTATTTAATTGGTCCACATATTTTATTTCTTCAGCATCTGATATATAAGCATGTTCCAGTATACCTATTCAGAAGTTGCATTTAAAACTTTTCGGCATTCCATCTATTACATTTGATAAATATTGTACTTGAAAGGAAATTTTATGCTTGATAAAATCTTGTATTTGTTAACAAGTAATTTTTCATGTTGTATTTATATATCTGGGTCAAACTCCTCTATTTATTTATTTATTTGTTTGGATTTTATTCAAATTGTTTTTTTTTTTTTTAAATATAGTTCAAACATTTGCTGTAATTTTAAATGTTATAGTATTGCGAAACTAATCATGAATATGTTGAAATAAAGACACTTATTTGTATGTTTTTAGCCTTTTTTTTTTAATCACTTAACATTGAACAGCTTTTTCATATGGCAGGAAATGGGAAAATGTGAGTAAAATGAGAAGTTTGGAAGCTAGCATTAGAGTTGCTTTTTAGTTGATAAATGCTGTAGTTTACAGAGCATTAAGATAATATTTCTGTTTAATTTATGGCATCTGCTTGTGAAATTTTTATTTTATATTGTAAAGTTGTTATTTAATATGAAAGTAAAGTAAAACATTGTAAATAAACTATAACAAATTTTATTTATGCTGAATGAAATAAAATAAAATTTTGGAATGTCTTATATCGTCCTGGGTTCATAGATTGAAATAGGTAATGCAAGTGCAATGACGATTTAACACCCATCAACAATGTTTTAATATAATATTCTACTCCATTCCTTATATATTCTTTTTTTATTCATTTGAAACTTACGAATTAAAAACAAAACTCTATATTTTCTTAAACTAATGTTGAATGCAATGAGCTCGTTATTTAAAGATAAAAACTGGTATAATTATTTCATGATTACTTTTTATCATTTAATGATGAAAAGCAAATTGGATAGTGTTATAGTATTGGGGATCACTGTGATAAATAATATAATGTATGTGGGATTGCTGTGATAGATAATATAAGACTTTGAATTTTTAATTACGAGGTTAATTATTTTTAAGGATTAAGTGGTACCTAACATAAAGGTATTCTTAATATACACATTAATAATAATTAACGTATAATAATTATCATTCCTTTCATATAGGAATTTCTATATCAATAAAAAGGAGGGGAATAGGGCTTTGGTAGGCATTTAACAGACAGGAACTTTTATTTTCAAATTTTTACTCCTTGCTAAGTCAACTTTTTATGACAGGATGTTTTTATTAAAAAGGTAAGTAATGTTATTAACAGGGTGCATAGCGTTTTTAAAAAGTGCTTATTTTTGATTTACATTTTTAAAAGCCTTTAAGGGTGTTTTTTTTAAATTCAGGGTTTATAAAAGTGTTTTCTATCTTTTAAAAAAAATTTTTTTTCTTTGCTGTGTCGATTGTCGCTCCAAATTACAAAAACTGAATGATTTTCACAATTTTCTCTGCACTTTTTTTTAAAAGCTAGTTATTTTATCATGATTATGTGAAGTTTGTGAAAATATTATTGATTTTACGTTCATAAATTAAGAATAATAAGAACGATAAAATAAGAACGATCGAAAAAAATAGTTTTTATTACTACTATTTTTTTGGAAAGCGATTAAATATATTTTTTGAGTTCTTAAAAAGTACTTAAAAGGTGCTAATTTTTTGTTGAAAAATCTGGCTACGCCCCTTGTATTAACACGATTTTATGATTTATGTTCATCTTGGTTAAGCAAATCGTCTGTATTCTTCAGAAAATATTTGTAATGAAATCTTTCATATATATATGAAATTATGTGGCTAATTTTTAATTTTAACTGATAGCCAATATTCACTTAATTTAAATGTAAACGTATAACTACTTTTTAAATGGAAGCATTGTTCATGTGGCTTCAGTATTGAAATTCAGGGGTTAATGTGCGGAATACAAACGGAATTTAATATTTTAAAATATGTTACTTTTACAATTGATATATTGTGGATTCTAACTTTTTCATTAAAGATATCACCCATATACTATGTTTTGTTTTTATAAGTGCCTATCCTATATACATCTTCATTTTATTTATTTTAATATTATTATTATTATAAATCTCCATCTACAGAAATTTAAACATCACACAACTCTCTCGATCGTTGCTAATTTCAGATTTAGAGGATTAATTCAAAATATCACATACTCATTTATCAATAATTAAATGAACTTTCAGATAAGTAGAAGTTTTTAATATCAGGATTAAATAGAAATGTTTCTAGCAAATTTTCAAACATTTCACATTAAGAAGTAGATCAAGCTACATAAAGAGAAAATCTCTAATACATTTTAAATATGTATGTAAATATCTGAACTTAATTTATGTTGAACAGGGGCATTATGTTGAGCACAATTTAATATAGCGGAGATTAATGAATTTGTCCACTTATGCATTTTCTCTAGTCTTTTATTAAAACATTTCTCTTTATTTGCTGTTTGAGTCTTATTTTTACATCCTATTCATAGTTTTACTCTGCAATTTTATTCTTATATATTGGATTGTGCCGTAATGATTATTACGCCAGTGTAGCATCAAAACTTGCATGGATTTTATTAATTCTGTATACTTGTGATATGTTTCTGTTTCTTACGTACCGCTCACCTGGGAAGTCATGGAAAATCATGAATTTCAGTATTGAACAAAATTCGTCATGAAATGTCATGATTTTAACTATTTTTTAAAAAAAAATCATGGAAAGTCATTGATTTAGGTCTCCGAAAAATCTAATTTTTAAAATGGAATTTACCCCCCAAACCCCAATTTCACAGTGTTCCGAATATCTGAATTTGTAACAAAATCCTCACTCAGTCATATTTTATTAAAATATAAAATGTTTTTATCCTGTTCTTTAAAAATTATGGTGTTCTTTAAAAAAATGAAAGAAAAAACATAATTTCTAGAGCGAATTATCTTTTAAACTTCTGTGATTTCAGAATTTTTATTATTATTTACTTTTTTGATTTTATCAATTTAAAATTCTAGCTGAAGCAAGCCTGTCATTAGCAATTTTTTTTTTAAATTCCGAAATGAGAACAGAAAAATCAGGACTATTTTTTTCCTTTTTGATGAACAAGAAAAGTATATTTAGAATATAATTCTGCAGAAAAAAACGGAAAAAAAAATTTGCTTTTGTATTTTTTCCAGCTATTTTATTGTTTCAAGTTTTTTTTACGCTGTTTTTTAAATTTAAAATCTATTAATATGAAGATGAAGAGTATAACAGTTTTGGTTGTACCTATCATTTCAATTAATGTTATTATAATGCTTTTTTAAATTTATTGTTGTGTTTTTGTTGGAGAAAATAGTAAGTTCGTTAAGTCATGAAAAGTTCTTGGAATTAGTCATGGAAAGTCATGAACTTGAAAATCTGAAATGTAGCAGGTACCCTGTAACTTACTATTCACACATTTTTCTTTTTAATATTCTTTCATTAGTAATGTTACGTAAAGTATAAACAAAATACTTTTCCAAAGTAATTTTTCTAACATTTTGTCGAGGCTTTGATACTTTTGTAATTATTTTATCAACTTTCCTTTTATACCTATCGTAAAGTTCTTGACTTTGTGCACAGGTTGTTGGGCTAACAAAGCAAGGGAGCCACCTCCTCTGCAAAGGATCAAACTTGCGATTTGTATGTCTTCGGATCATCCTCAGGGATGTTTCCCACACTTTTGCCACTATCCCATTGTGCAACTTTAGTACCTACCTATTTCTTATAAATGAGTGTGAATTATTATTTTAGATGCATGTGAAAAGAAGAAAAAAATGCACTAGGGTAAAGAAAATTGAATAAGGTTTTATTTTGCATAGAATTTGAAGCAAAGTACTGAAATTTATACTTTGATTATTTATTTTACATAGAAGTTCTTGAGAAAAAATACAATATAAGGAAAAAGGGATCCAATATTTTACAAGGGATTTTATGAGAGTAATTAATTCAATGAAACTTTCGCTGAAGAAACATTCGTTCATAAATATCAAATTTTATTCTCAGCTTTTCGAATTCTTTCAATTACGTTATGAAAAATTTTTTAATCTTTTTTTATTTTTTATTAATATTTATAGTGGCAAGTATATTTAAAACTATGCTTATATTATGCAATTTTATTGTAATTTAGATACACGTTTAACTGGAAAGTAAATGAAAACTCTTATTTTTCACTGCTTTTAAATTACATACTGCTTATTTTTGTAAATGAGTGTTCTTACTCTGTGTTTCAGAAAATTTTGCTTAAGAAATCAGGCTCAATAGACATAGCATAATTTTGTATAGCTTACCATCATTGTATGGAATGCCGGCATAGTATAAAATGCTTGGTGTTTTTAGGTAAAGTATGAAATAGAATTATTATATTTACTTTGCTTAGTCATTGTACTGAATGTCTGTAGGTTTTTCTTTAGTCATTCTGTAAAATGCCTAAGCAAGGTTTAAAATGTTAATAATTTTATACTTATCTCGACAATTCTAAGCATTTTATACAAGTCTATGCTTTCTATAGAATACCAGATACCATATATTGACGGTAACATATTCAATTAAATATCCCATTTAAAACAAAAACACATTTTTAAGCTTCTGGGAGAGATAATTTCCCATATTTGTTGTAGACAAATCGGAATATTTTGAATTTTTTTTATTATTATTTGAAATCAGACTAATGTCTTTTGAAATATCAAGTAAGACCTATCAAAGTAAGATTTTCTTAAAAGCATAACCTGATGGAAACAAGGATTATCATCTGATGCTGATACTTATGCACTGTTTACATTTTTTTTCTCTTCATATGGATTCCATTTGCAATCTAAGAATTTTTCGGTTTGTAGAAAATTTCCTCGATTAATAAATTTTGATATTGAATTTACACGTTTTCTTAATCCTGTTTACGCTTTTTATTTATAATTTCAGGAATTATTTTTGTTAAATGGTTGCTAATGCCGTAGCTTTATGTTACTAAAAAATGCAGCCAATATTTAAAATCAATTCTTGCTGATTGAACAGGTCATTATTGTTCATTAGCTTGTGCTGTGAGAAATTCATATGGATCTTAAATTGAAAATTCGGAAATGTTACTGCATTTTTATTCGCCGAATAATAGGTTTTAATATTTTTATAATCTGGATTTCCAATTTGTTTAAAAACTTTAAAAAAAAGAAGAAAAAAAAAACAATTATAGGCTGTCCAATTTTGTTATTCGTTGGAAATTTCTAGAGCTTACAGCTAGATTCTCAATAGTAGTGCTACTCGTAATTTTTATTGGTTTTGTTCTTAAATTTTTCTTTCTTCACAACCAAAGTTAGCTGCAAAAAAGTAGCTCCATTTTTATT